TAATATATTCTTTGAATTTGTACATTTCAAATATTTCCTTCGGGTTTCTCCAAAGTCCGGACATTCCACCAGGTTGCGCCTGATCGTAAAGTCGATATCGCATCTGACACGAAATGTTTTTTCGCTTCCTTCCAGGAAGTTTGTTAGCGTTCACGTCTTCACTTAATGTTTCTGCACACGACAAGTTTGCCTCAGCGGGGGAATATTTCTTCTCCTCACAAAAAACTTTCAATAACAATGTTGTCTGTAATGGCCATGGCTGGTCACTGGCCGTACTGCTGTACGCGGTACCACAGGTGTGAAAATGGCATATACGTATATATTATGTTTAACGCCCATATCCACATTGTTAGGTTATATAAGAAGCGGGAACTCCGAGTTTAACATCCATCTCCGAAAGGACCTAGCCAAATGTGAAATTCGTGTAAAGCGCCTTTCCCAAGAACACAACGTCGGCCCGAGCTCAGGCTCGAAACCCCGAACCTGTAATCTCACGAAATTACGAGTTCAGCAGCCTAACCACTAGCCAACCGACACCACTGCCAAGAGCATTGAGTTTCAAAACACCAGTAATCACAAATCACAAGTCCGAAAGTCTCACAGAGGTTTTAGTTCTATCTATCTACCTATCATTACAAAGACAACATATGGCCAAATGTGTACCCGCCTCAAGACATTCCAGCCCTGGCTTCTGTCCTAGAAAACGATCTGCCGCTTCTGCAATCAACGGTCTAATAAATCGGGAGGAATTCAGGACATACACCCCCCCCCACCTCTCCGCACCTCTCCCCCCTCTTTATCTCCCCACACAGACACCAGTCATGAATGCTGCTACCTCAAACACGGTCAGGTCAGATCCAAAGTCAAAGCTTATCAGTCTCAGACACAAATTCGGAAAAAAAACTACATAGCCTATTACTAGCTGGGAAGGAATTTGCCTCAAACTATCATTCTAATTATTTTGGAATATTTAGGTCACAGAATAAAAAAACAACAACAAAACAAAACAAAAACAACAACAATAACAACAACAACCATAAACAAGTCTAGAAAAATAAACTGGCCCTGGCCTCAGTATAACAG